CAAAAAAAAAAAAAAAAAAAAAAAAAAAAAAAAAAAAAAAAAAAAAAAAAAAAAAAAAAAAAAAAAAAAAAAAAAAAAAAAAAAAAAAAAAAAAAAAAAAAAAAAAAAAAAAAAAAAAAAAAAAAAAAAAAAAAAAAAAAAAAAAAAAAAAAAAAAAAAAAAAAAAAAAAAAAAAAAAAAAAAAAGGAAAACCTCATGGTTTTCCCACAGTCATATGTAATACTGGCATAAAGCTGATGGCTGCCTAAAAGCCTTGATTTGAAAGATTTTTCCGAATAGAAAAAGAATAATCCATAAGGGTTTGAAGGCTCAAAAGAAAATAGTTTTTCAAAGGATTTTTCAAAATTACATGGAATTGAAAACTTCCACAACCTGCAACATTGCTTGATCTGTTTCCACATATATTTCCCCTTTCTTTATTTGCCTAGTCAATATAACAGATTACAAAGTGACTATTTTTTTTCTACCTGTATGTATTCTTACTTTTGCTTTTTCCTTTTTGTCATTTTAAGAGGAAAGCTTTCCTAATTTGGAAAAAACTTTGAGGCTGGCAAAGAAAAATTGAAGCTGTAACTTTCTGAATTAGACAAACTTGGACAAACTGCAGATATGTAAAAGCTGAAGGTCAAAAAAAAAAAAGTGTGTCCCCATGTGTATCTGGGGGATTACGTTTTGTATATAATTAATTTTACTACTTATGGTAGTAAAAGAAAAAAATGAAAATAAACTAGGTAAATTGGGATAGCTCTTGCAACTGCAGTATTTTTCTCCTCAAAAATGTCAGGAAATCCCTTGCTTTAATATAACAATTTTGTTTCAATGAAGCAGAATGAAAGCTGCCATAACTTTCCAGAGACTTTCACAAAAGGCATTTTAGCACCTTTTTTGACAGCTTTAATATTCCCTCAGGGTCTCCTCTTCTCTACCAAATCCAGTGCAACTCCCTCCTTACAACCTGCGCAAGTGTAGCCTTCCTGCTCTATATATGCATCCCCTATTTGCTCAAGTCTTCCATCATCAACAGCCCTTCACACACACCATATGCAGATGTTCCTACCTGCGATCCAGGTGCTGGAGGTTCTGCTGGCATCAGAGCTCAAGTTAATAAAACTGGAGAATGACCCACTTGTCCTAACGTGGTTGTCTACCTTAGAGTGACGTGACACACGTGATTGATTCTAATACTATTGTCTATCAGGAGCTTAAACATTAAGCTCACTTACCTACAGATTTGGCCATGAAGATGACTAAAAGTAGATATTTGAGCTTGGAATAGGATCTCACCCACACATGTAACAAGCCCAAACCTAGTACTGAACCTCTATCCATCACTGAAATTCCTCTCTCCCTCTGCCCAATTCCTGCTGATTCTGCCTCTTCCATCATTCTGAGGGTGTCCACACTGGCAACAGTTACTGAAGCTAAAATTGGTGCACTTTTGCTTGAGAAAGAGGAGGTAGCAGTTGTCTGAGCACAGAGGAACCTATAAATCCTTCTAGAGCTGCTGCAGTGAAGTGGCAACCTGAGCAGCCTCTTCAGTCATCTGTTAGACCTTAGACCTCTTAGAAAGGTGATGGCTTCTTCAAAAGGACAACGTTTAAGGCACCTAGAAAAGACAAACTTTGCTTATTGAACATAATGGCAAAAACTATGCCAGTAAAATTTTCTCCTTTGTATTATAAATAGTTCATATTTTATAGTGTGTTCAGTTTGGGCTAACAATGCAGCTTTCCAAGAAGTCAACAATGATAAATTGTTGATAAACACCAGCTGGAAAGCATTTGCAATCGATTGCTGTGGATGTTCACTGAATAAACTACTGTAAACTGAAAGGACATAAAAACTAACTAATGACAGAATTCCTGAAAAGAAAAAAAAAAAAAAAAAAGGAAAAAATATATGGAAAACAAAATAAATTATTTCACATTTTAGGTATATTCTAGAAGTTGTCTGGGTCTCTACTGATTCACTGATACTTTCCTATCTGCCATCACCAGTGCTACATAGGCAATGCCATTTCTCACTGGCAGAAGGAAGGACTAAACAAGCATCATGCCACAGTGTTGTTCTGCATTCACCACCTCTGCCAGACTCACCCCATGCTCCCCTCCCTCCTTGTACTGCCCTGACACGGAGGGTGCAGCCGGTCAGGATGGGCACCATGTCTGAGCGGAGCACCTCAGGGGGTCAGGGGGTCGTCTGTGTGTCCCAGCGGTGCGACCGGCAGTGCAGCACAGCCACAAGGACAGCCCTGGCACAGGGTCAGCCCCGGCACGGGATCAGCCCCGGCACAGGGTCAGCCCCGGCACGGGATCAGCCCCGGCACAGGGTCAGCCCCGGCACGGGATCAGCCCCGGCACCGGCGGGGCCCTCAGCCCGCCCAGGCCTGCAACAGCTGTGCCGTGGGCGAGGAGACCTGGCCAGAGCTCAGGAAGGTGTCGGGGCGAAGCACGGAGTGACCGAGACTGAAACATAGTGGGAACTTTGAAATTCCCAGAGGCAGGGACGGGCCACCGAAGGAGCTTTTTAAACCTGCTCACGGTTGGCGTTCACTCGCGTGCCTTCCTGCTCTGCCCCCGCCAGGGCCCCTGTCCTGGGGCCCCTGTCCTGGGCCAGACGTGCCCATCGCTGCACGGGCACTGCGGGACCCTCCCGTCCCTCCCGCTGTGCTCGACAGCTGTGCTGCTGGCCCCTCTGCCCTCCCCGCCGGCCCCTCTGCCCTCCCCGCCGGCCCCTCTGCTCTCCCCGCCGGCCCCCGCTGCTCCCCTCCCACGCCCTGCTTTTGCGGTGGAGGAGCTGGATGGAGGTGAGCAGCTACATGGGGAAATAAAAATGATCTGTCTCATGATGCAGAGCCAAATGGGTAAGTGCATTAGCAGAACAAAGTTCTGCTCTTCTGAAGAACAAAGTTCCCTCTTAGCAGAACAAAGTTCCCTCTTCTGCCTTGTCGGCAGAGGGTCCCTTTGGTTACTGCAGCTCCTGAAGCTGGCTCCAGGTGCATTTCCCCCGGATTATGGCCTGTGTGGTGGGCAGGAGTGTTGTGGTGCCCCATCTCCAGCTAAGATCTGTCCCCACAGGGCTTCTGGCTCATCACAAAACCCATGGATGGTGGGGAGATGAAATGTGCTATGAGAGCAAAAAAGAGGCTTTTCCTACTCAGCTCAGTTCAGTTCCTTTGTTCACCCTGCCTCCTTTCTGAAATGTGTCTGTTACCAAAATCTGTGACGTGTTCCTGCAGGTCTCTGATAAGCCCTTGGAATAGCAGGGCACATGGTAGTACAGTGACACATCCTGCGGTGGGCCATGAAGTGGGGTTTTGTGTAGTGTTATCAGTCACAGGGAAGATGGGTGCTGCTCATACAAATAACCCAAAGGGTTCAAGGGACCACCAGAAACCTCAGAGATGCTCATCTGTGGTGGATCCTGAACTGTGGTTTCTAAAATGGCTGAAGTAGTGTCCCTTCCTATCTTCAGCTGTCTTCTGCTGCTCAAATATTATTTACGTGTTTTATTAAGAACCCTTAGCATTTTTAAGCAATGGTTTTACAGAACTCAAAGGATTAGAAAAGATATCCAAGAGGGACACATGAAGGTCAGCTAGGGATTGACAATTCTGGTGGGATGGTCAAAGATGTTTAGCACATGCTTTAAATAAACAGCAAGTTTTAGGTAGCTGCTAAAGCTTGACCATATGCCAAAAATACCAACCAAGTCAGTCTCACACTGTGTCTTGGCAAAAACAAATTTATCAGTAACAGGAGTCCCTATTCAGCTTCACTTCTAATTTACCAGGCACTTCGGCACATTGAATGTATTCCCAAACCAACTAATTTACTTACACTAAAGCGTGATCAGTAGTTAGGCACATTACCTAACCAGGGTTGTACTTTACCTTATGTTACATTTTCAATCAACATGTAATTGTTGAATGACTAGTTCAGCTTAATACAAAATATTATATTGTAGGCTGTTCTTAGGAAAATGAACAGACCAAGTATGTTGAAAATGGCAATAAACAGGCAGAAGAGTCAGGTTGTGGACAGAGCGGAAGGGGTAAGCCTAGAAAGGCAAGGGAGGGCTTGACTCAAATTATAAACAGAATCTGTAGCCTTTCCAAGTCTTTCTTCCATAGTCTTTTAAGTGTAGATGCTCATTACTTATCCCATATGTGAATGGGTATAATTTCTGCTATGCATGACACAAAATAACTTCAGAGAAAGTGAGTGAGGATATCTGTTCATGCCACTATCTCACCACATTGTTTGGACTGCTTGTCAATGCTTACAGTGAAATTTGAGTTTCCCATACCATTAAGCCTAACCAAATAAGTTTTTCAATTAATAAAAGTTATAAATATATGTATAGACATATTTTTAATATATGTATACATATGTGTGTGTGTGTGTGTATGTTAAATGCTTCAGGAATATTTTTTCCTTTTTTTTTTTTTCCAAAAGTATTGATCAAAATAACTTGAAAGAATGTAGTCTTAGTCCATCAAAGAAATGTATACTTCTCATTGCAAGAGGAATAAATCTATGTAATTGTTACTATATTTATGCATTTTTAAAATGCAAGTGTAAAAATGTAATGCTGTTTGACATACTTTTAAATGTAATGAATGCTAGAATAAATAAAACATGCTAGTCACTGTTCATTTGCAAAGGTCTCTACTGTATTTATTACCTACACAGAAATGATAATTACAGAAGAAAGCAACAGAGAGGTTTACATTTTATGTATGCCTCAGGTCACTGTTCAGCTTTGGGAACCTCATTCCTCCTCTGCTACCTTCTTATGAAACTCCCGGCTCTTCACTCGGAGCTTGTTGACCTGGGACTCTGCAATGTCAGCCCGTTCCTCGGCTTCCTCCAGCTCGTGCTGGATCTTGCGGAACTTGGAGAGGTTGACATTGGAGAGCTCCTCCTGTGTGGGGAGAGAGAGTTGATGAAAACAACAGACAGCATGTGGACATATAATATCTGAAAACTGGGCAAAGAAAAATTCAAATGCCACAAATGTTGGAAGAGAAAAGAATATTGGAATGTCAAAAAGGCCATGGCCACATTACACACAGCATCGTCTAGGCAGAGCTCATGTCAGAGTCCTCAACAGGCAGACTGGCAGCTGTTTCTGACACCCAGGTTAGGGTGTGAAGGAAGAAATAGAGTGAGAAACAAGGCTAAGAGCAAAACAGAGTTGGAGAAGGATAGTTCCTCCCAAACCAAGCAAGTCTTACTCTCATATTCCCTGTTGTATCAAAACATCATCATGTAGCATCACAGCAGTCAAGGTTTCAAAAAGAGGAACAGAAGAAAATATCAACACAGAATTTGACCAGAAGGAAGTCTGATTTGGTCAAATTGGTACTTACAGCCTCCTCAGCCTGTCTCTTGTAGGACTTCACTTTCATTTGCAGCTTGTCCACCAGATCCTGCAGCCTGAGAACATTCTTCCTGTCTTCCTCAGACTACAGAACGGCAAGTAACAGAAAACCTTGTTTACATCATTCTCTAAATTTCATAAGTGTGAAACAAAGGGAATAATATAGTTTATGGAACACTGCAATGCAGAACAACAGGAGTCAATCCAGTTAACTCCTGTCACTGCCTGAGGTATAGAAAGAAATCCCTCTGAAAGGCAGTATTCAAATGTTTTGAAACACTGTTCTGTCAGGAAGCCAATGCAAAGAAACCTCCAGCCTTACCTGGTAGGTGAGTTCCTTCACCCTCCTCTCGTACTTGCGCACACCCTTCACGGCTTCAGCGCTGCGCTTCTGCTCAGCATCAACCTCCCCTTCCAGCTCCCGCACCTGCAATGAGGAGCCCATCCCTGCAGCTTCCCTGGGGTGTCTCTCCAAGGGACAGGGTCACTCACGCACCAGCACAGCCCTACTCACCCTGGCCTCCAGCTTCTGGATTTGCTTCTTGCCTCCCTTCAGGGCCAACTGCTCGGCCTCATCCAGACGGTGCTGCAGGTCCTTCACTGTCTGGTCCAGGTTCTTCTTCATCCTCTCCAGGTGGGCACTGGTGTCCTGCTCCTTCTTCAGCTCTTCTGCCATCATGGCCGCCTGAGCAGAGCAGCAGGTGAGTTGTGGGGCTGGAGACATTTTGGGGAGAATACACTGACCACCAGCAATGAAAGGAGCCCCGACTCACATCTGTGATGGCCTTCTT